GCTCCAGTCTGGTGCATTTTCCCCCCTCTGAGTTTACAGTAGTTATTTTTAGTTTGGTGAACATTCCCCCTCTGCTCTTTCTACTTGTGTCAATGCTGCCTCAGAGTCCCTGTAACCCTGAAGGTCAAAAGCTGTGGTTCTATCTGTTTTTGGATTAGACTGTCCCCAGTTAACGAGCAGCCATCCTAGTTACTTTGCAGATCCCAGATGCACTGTCTGCCAGTTCTGCAGGTTCCTCAGTTGGCTTCCAGTTCTGGCTTCCTGCGTGTGACACCAAGTTCTCTGGCAACTGCATTTCTCCAGATGAGCCCTTCGATTCCCCATAGACTTGTCCTCTATTTCCACATAGGTTAGAGTGAGCACAGAGTGGTGCTTGGGCTTCCCTGCATCCTGGTTACATCTCGGGGTTAGTGCCCAGGATGTGGCAGGTTATCATGCCATGCCCTTGGTCACTCAGCACCATCCAGTAAGTGAGCAGAGCTTTCCAACAGACACATTTCAGCACATTTAAGTATATAGAGTTTCATGCAGTCATCTTTAATTGTGGCCTCTCTACTGCTGGCCTTTCGTGGCTGAAGATAGTCTTAGTCATGTGCCTGCTGTATTTATGCTGAGAGAGAAAGGGAGATGGGTGCTGCATCCCATAGCTTCAAAGCCAATGGCATTCTGCCAAAAAGGGGGAAATGAAAGAAGGACCACATAATTAAAAAAAAAAAAAAAAATCCCTAGAAACACTCAGAGTAGATGGCAATAGCGAGGCAGGTGATGGCCTCTCCATGAGTCTTAAAACTGCAGATCACCTTGGGTGTTCCAGCACCCATCCCACTGCACTATTGGCAAAACTTCCCTGCCTGCCTCATGAAGGAACACTGGGGTTCAGACAGGAGCTTGGCACAGTTAACAGTGAAGTGTAATTCCAGGATTAGTAGAAAAGGTAAGTGAAGGAATCCCTTTTTTCTCAGGGAAAAAATCACCCAGAACACTAGGGGAGATGGCCTATAATTTTGTCCTGAACAGAAAGTGACTGATCATTCAGAGATGATGATGATGGAGTGCTCTGATGATGGTGAATGTGTACACACTCAAGCCACTGTTGTGCACTGTTGCTGGCTGGCTGCATGCATGGTTGTTTTTTTGTCTTTTGTTCATATAGTTAGATGTTAATCAGATTCCCTAGGAGGTACAGATTTAGAATGCTGAACTCTTTTCCTTGCCTCGCCATATGGCACAGTGTCTCCCTTCTATAAAACTGTTATCTATTTTTATTTCCCTCTGCAGCCACACAAAAGCAAAGGCAGAGCCAACAAACTTCAGTCAAATGAAGCCAGTCCAGAAGCACAGGCTCTTGTAAGTACCCAGCTACCAGAAAGTGCCTTAGCTGGATCCCACTTGGCACTGGGACTATTCTTCTTATAGTTGAGTTCATTCAGCTGGGTGAGGGGAGGCTAGCATAGTTTCACATATTTAAACTGAAGCTGAAGACGTTGCTGCTAGGGCTATGCGAACCTTCAGTAGCTGATTCGATTTGGAGGAGATTCGGCCCAATTTGGTAGCCAAATCTCCGAATCGAATCGGGAGAACCATTAATCTCCCTAAATCAAATCGGAAGCCTCCAAATCAATTCGGAGATTCGGCTGTAGACTGTACAGGCAGGCACTAGGCAGTACCGGTGGAAGCAGCTGGGGGAGCAGCCAGACAAGCCCCACCTTGAGCCAGCAGGCCCAGGAGTAGCCACAGCTCATCCAGCTGCCCCCTGTGCTGGGAGAGGCAGGCAGTGCTGGCAGCCCCAGGAGAAGCTGTAGGGAGCTGGGGGGAATGATTAGGGGTTGGGGGAATGAGCAGGGGCTTCCCGGCAGCTCCCGGTTCCATTCCCCAGCCCCCGCAGCTTCTCCCGGGGTTGCCAGCACTGCCTGCCTCACCCCAGAGGGGGAGCAGCTGGATGAGCCACAGCTTCTCTCAGGGCTGCTGGCTCAAGCCGGGGCTCATCTGGCTGC